CATCGGATATTTATGAGGTCTTTTAATTGGAACTGCCTTCGACAGATGAAATAATCCATTTGAGAAACAAAATATTTTGAGAGTCACAAGATCTTGTTCTCAAATGTTTTATCTTTGTTATTTGAAATGTTGTTGGACCATAGAATGTAAAGACATGACTTCACGCTCCAAAAAGTGAAGCCAAAGTGTCTCGTGCCACCTGGTGGCTGTCCTCAGAATAGGTCATGAACCCTGCCATCTCCATGTTAGCGGATGGTACATGGACCAAATTAAAAAGTCAAGGTACATATCAAAAAAAATATTTCTCAAAGATGATTCCTGTCATTTTAGGTAGTTCATATCACACTTCTGTATATTCAGGTGCTCATTTTTCTGTTAAGTTTAGTAATAAGTTATTTGCTGCTATAAAAACTGAAATATCATGATTGACAGCTGAGACTCATGATTAGTCGAGCAATTTTTGTCGGCAGGACCTCGCTACACTGGCTCCATCTCTCAGTTGCCTCGTGTAGACTCAGGCTCCATATGAACAATCTAGCAGCGTTCATGTCTGGGATAGTTTCATTTCTGGATAGTGGGAGAATAGACGCCTATCTTTATATACAGTCAATGAGGTGGATCACATTTGTTGAGTCAAGACTTATCTATTATCTCTTTATTCAATAAAACATTAATGTGCTGCTCAGCACTAAGTAAAGGAGAATAACCTTTGCATTGTGTCAAAAACCTTACCCATTAATACCCACAACGTTTACAAAGCCAGATGTTGTCAGTCCAGGCCTGCGACTGTACAGCTGCCACTCAAACGGCAGATGCCTGATTGTGTAATGAAAGTCTCCAACATGCCTGTAAAAAAGATCAAAGTATCAGAAACTTTGACTAGAGCCCACCATGAGTCCCTTCAACTCAATGTTCTTTCTTCTCTCTCTCTCTCCTTTTCTTTGTTGCATGCAGCTTCTTTAAAGTCTGTCCACCTCTCCTCATTATCTCATGCTCTCTCTTCCTCTTCTCTCCTTGCTCGCTCCCCTCTCACCTTCATGTTCTGAGGAAGCGTACCACCTGTTTCCATAGAAACAGCAATTGATTGCCACAGGTGGACAGCACTGCAGTCCCGATTAAATCAAACAGAGCGACGAAAAGGCTAAAGCAACAGAGCCGTTGATAGAGGTTGGGAATTGTTCTGTTGGTTATTCCTCTACATTTTCATCCGTGCACAAAAAAGTGTGTGTGTGTGTGTGTGTGTGTGTGTGTGTGTGTGTGTGTGTGTGTGTGTGTGTGTGTGTGTGTGTGTGACAGAGCACAGGAACACATCCATCACTGTGGCTCTATATATTATCTGTCCTCTGCTCTGATCTATGCTCAGTGAGTATATAAACATGTCACTGCTGGAGACACAGGAATTCATGGAGACAGGGATATGTCCAATGGAGCTTGTGTGATCGACCTTTATGAAGACTGTGTGTGTGTGTGTGTGTGTGTGTGTGTGTGTG